CTGCATCAAATTATCGTACATCAAGTGCCTATCAACATTCCAAACAACATAAAAAATAATTTTTGATTGAAAATTCATTAATTGTCATAAATCATATGTAAAATAAATATGATTAACTCAAACGATTAAAAATAAATTGGATTAATTTAATTGAATTCTAACCATAGTTATATAAATGCACGTACTGAACAAGAGTGTTCATATCAATATTATACATTACAAACATAGTTTGGTATTATACAAATATTTAATTTACGTATCGTTTGAGTAAAAATAAACTGAAAATAAATAAATATATAGTATATTGAAATGTCCCATTATTTTACTAAATTAAACCTGTTTATTTTACCAATAGTATACTGTATACTATACTTAAGTCAATGTTTTTGAATATTACCTAGTATTCTAGTTATTGAAGTTCAGAAGCCTGTTGTAAATTGTGAATACCTACTATTTAAATATATTTAATTTTAACATACGTCTCTCAGTCTCTGACTGTATTTCTTTCAACGTTTCTATTATCTATAAGTAAATAAAAAATAAATATATTAAATTTACTAAGTTAATAATATATAAAAATGAGTATTTAATATTTTTCATGTTGAAGAATTATTACTGTAAAATTGTGCATTGTAATGTAAATGAAATGCCTCAAGTCCATTCGTAGTTTTAAGTAAACTTCATGAAGTTTTTACTCACACATCTAATGAAAATAAACAATTTTCTTAAATATAATTATCACTAAAATTCAATATGTCGTTATTTGGTACGAATGTATGATTTCGATTAACTCGCAAAACACATCCGAAACTTCTTCAGAGGAAATAAAAGATAGACCAAAAAATACGAGTATTTAAACTATTTTCCTACTTTAAAATTAGCTTTATATATATATTCATTTCTTAGAGATGGAAAATCTTAATTAAGCTTCCTATATCAAACTTATATTAGATGTTATATATTGTATTGTAAAAATGAATGCATATTTTTAAAGCATAATTTTACTAGTTTAAGCACATAAGTGTATGTATCATGTTTATTTAGTACCTACTTTCTAAGTGCGTTAAGTTCCGAGCCCTTAACCCTTTTATTGTTGAAACGAATTAACGAAACGATATTTTTATTATATGAGTGACAAATTTAGTTTTAACTAAGTTATTTTTAATAACTGTGACTTATGTCATTTTTTGAAACGACCGATTAATTTATAATTCTTAATTTGATTTTCTTCGTATTTTTCAACCACCGAATCTGTCAAATGAAGATATATGTATAATGTGTTCACTACACATTTCTAATACCGCATACTTCGGTGTTCATCAATTTATTTTTATCGAAATAATCTTTTTTGGAAAATGGTTACAGATTTCCACGATTTTTAATTAACGAATTGTAATTGACTTATTTTCTTAAATGTAACTACATACTCAAAAGTCATAATTACAGTATGATTAATGATAATATAATTTTCTAATTATATAGATACATCTCGACAGTGTCTCATGGTTTTACTATATCGTTTATATCCAGTAATCTACTATCTAGCTTGATATACTTATACGATAAAAATTGATTGGTCAGTAGTCAACAATACACTTTAGTTATTAATCCCATAATGTTATTGATAACTGATTACCTATTTAACATTACTATGATATATATAATATATATATTAAAACAGAAATACCTATACAATATTTGAAAATTGACTATTACTAAAGAAAATTTAGAGAAGTGCGAATTTCAAAATTAAATTTATAAAACAACTTGCGATTTTGGTTATACTCCTTTTTTCAGTTCTAATGTTAAGTAATATTGATGTACGTATGATGAACAACCTCTTAAACGGCCGATATGTGTCTTACAAAACAATTCAAAATTAACAATAGTGATGCCCAAACGAGATCGAGCGAATTTGGTTATGTTTCATAAGCTTAAAATAAATTGTTATAGTTCACTTTAAGTAATTGAAAATATGCAATTAAAAATAATACACAACTATAATTTATGTAATGGTGTAATATATGTAATTTGCGTCCCGAATATATTAATATACATATATGCGTATATGAAAATAATACATTACAACATTTAGATGGATATTTGTAATAATTAAAACCCTGACTGGCCTAACATAATAATGTATATATTATTGTATTTTTCCTAAAAAATTATATTATACAAATAAGAAAGCGATTTTTTAGAAAGATAGTAAATAATATATCAGATTATTTTATTATTTTTTTTTTTACTATCCTTGAAATCCTTTTCCTGGTTATTATTCTTACTACCCACCTTGAATAGTATAAATAGTATATAAACTTTTAAGTGTTCTTATTTGACAAATTAAATTTAAATACAATTCACATTGTATATTTATAAATTATATGTGTACAAATTTATGATGCACATACTACAATATAATATACTAGTATTGATATGCTAATTGTTAATAATTATTTTCATTTATAAAATTAATAAATGTTTTTTTTTTTTTTTTAGAACAAAATGAAACAAGGTTTTTTTGCCCAAATGACTGTGGAAGATCATATAAAAATAAATGTTCGATTGGTCGACATCTTAAATTTGAGTGTGGAGTACAACCACAATTTATGTGTTATATTTGCCACAAAAAATTTACTGATAAACAATCAATGAAAAGACATGTGTATCTGGTTCATAGACAGTTGATATATGAAAAATAATAATTTTATTTACTGGCTAAAACCGTGTCTAATGTTTTTATATTGAATACATACTTAAATACTGTAACTTTTATATTAGAATTAATGTAGTTTTAATAATATTAATAAAAACATATTTTTATTAATTATTGAAAATGTTTGTACAATTGTATACCTATGAGCTCAAATTTTTACAATCAATACACTTGCAGTGTTTTTAGTGTTTATGATAGAAAACACTATTTTTTAAAAATATTTTAGCATAGCTCTTTTAATTAATTCCAATTGAATATAATTAAGCTATAATTCCACAAATTTAATACTTTAATTAATAGGTTTTTTTTTTACAATATGTAATATACTGTTTAATTAAATTATCAGTTTCCATACTGATTATTGCCTATGTCATCATGGGCTATAAATGTATATTATTTTACTATATTAGAATAGTAGTCGTTGAATATTTTATTTTTTTTTTCAGAATCGAGATTTTTATGTCCTAACAACTGTGGAAGATCGTATAAAAATAAAGGCTCTTTAACTCAACACCTTAAATTTGAATGTGGAATACAACCACAATTTATATGTGAAATTTGCCTCAAAAGATTTGCATATAATAAAACAAAAAAAAAACATTTAGCTTTAATACATCATATTTTTTGATTAATTAATTGTATAGTTTTATACTTAATTTTTTATTATTAAAGAAAATAGTAAAATTTAATCATTGTATTGGTCTCTGTATAGAATATTATCCTGAAAATAATTGATTCCTATGAATATTAATTCTTCAAACAAATATTAAAATCTATTATTAAGATTTAAGAAGATCTTTATAGTTAATTTTTTGATGATAATTTTATTTATAAAGTAAGTTACTGTTAATACTTAAGATACTTAACTGAACTCAATTAATAATCTTAAATCTGCTGTTGATAAAAATTCTCTGTGTATCATATTTTAACATATCTTTTTCAGGAAGGTGTACACAAATTTTTTTTACATTGTTGCATTTCCTTTCTAGTTTGTTTCCACTTCAAACTCTGATATTAATGAAATATAAATTTATAACACATAATTAATATCAAATATTATGTACTTATGTATGCCAATTTACACATGTATATTATGTAGGTAATGGTACCTACACTCTTTATAGTATAATATCATAATATTCTTATTATGAAGCAAATATTAAATTTTTATTTTAAATATTTTCATTGATATAATTAATGAGGTAGGTACTTAGAAATTTAAATATTTATATAATGTCATACAGCAACATTTTACATTTTTCTTCTGCAAAAATCCCATAATATGGTGATTTCACCCCTTCTTCGCCCCGGTATTTTTTGTAAAAGATATATTTTTCACTATATTATTATAAAATTAAACTATTATTTAGACATTTTACCATATTTATGTATACCTATCTAAAATGTATTTTTAAATCTGATAGTTATAAAAACTAATAAGTATATATTAACATAAAAGTAGTGTATCATAGACATAATATGATTTAATGAAAATAATCGGACGCTAATGTTAGTTTATAATCTGAACATTTAATAATGTATTATTTTTGAATGGTAGAGGAAATAGTACATTGCATGTAATATGTAACATGTCTTTGTTGTTTTGAATAGATGTTTTTCAAAAATTTGTTTAATAAAATTGATAAGCAAATAATATCTGTCAATGTTAACTTAAATAATAATTTTTTTACTATAATAATAATAATCAGTTATTAGATTATAATGCCCTGTTATATATTTTTTTAAAGTTTATATTTTTTAATACCTACTTATTTTATTGTACCTATAAATTTAAATTCAACAAATCTTCTACAGTTACTTATTTAATTTTTATAACTTAGGTATATTCGTAATAGATAATATTTCAAAGCAACTTCCGTGGTATTTAATATCATTATTTCATATATTTATCATTTAAATAAAATAAAATAATAAAAATACCAGTACAATATATAAATAGGTAATATTAATAACAATTTTTTTTTAAATGTTGTACCAACCAAAATTAATTTCCGTGTTGAATCTGTCTGTTTTTAGTTATTTATCGGTAAGTATTATCTACACCTTCTCTAATTCTTATAATATTGCATCCTTTATTTTTAAAATTGTTAATTTATATTAATACAAATACTGAAATACGTTATAGCTATACAAAAATATTTTGTATTCATTTTTATGTTTGTGATGTATATTACGTTTACTTTGTGACACCTACATTGTTAATAAACCAATTATTATTTTAAAAGTAAGTACTAAGTATTAATTATATTATTTTTTTCAGATAAAATGAAATCAAGATTTTTATGCCCTAACAATAACTGTGGACGATCATACAAAAATAAATGCTCTATTGATCGACATCTTAAATTTGAATGTGGAGTACAACCACAATTTTTATGCAATCTTTGCGACAAAAAATTTGCATATAATATTTCATTGCGAAACCATTTAATTTCAGTTCATAAAATGATTGATTTTAACTAGTGTTCTCTGTTCAAATACGATACTTTTAACGACATCTGTTGAAATAATTAAGAACCATTAAAACAATTAATTATTCTAAAATTTATTGGTCACTGCTCATTAGGTATGGTACATTGATAATTAAAGGTATTCTATACTGATAGCTGGAAAGTAGAAATTATCAGGTGCCTATAGGACCTATAGGTACATAATTTGTAGTACCTAAAGTTTATAAGTTTATAACTTAATAATATTATACCTAGTATCTAATGATTAATAATAAGTAATTCTAATACCTATGTATTTTTACCTATCTTTTATTATGTTATATTAATAAAAAATATTCTATATTGCTAATATAATTAATCATTAATACCGTTGTGGGTTACTAATCAAGATAATATTTTAACATTGAATTAAATAATAAATATTCATACATTTTTTATTAATTTAAAATTGTATTTTTGCAATTAATGTTTAATATTTTATATGAAAAAAAAATGTTTTATTATTTTTAATACAATACCTACTCGAATTTAATATATATATTTTTTATTAATAAAAGTAACAATATAATTTAAAATAAAAAATTCATGTGCAAATTAGTTATATAATATTTACAGTGAATGTGGAAAAATATAGCCTATAGGTATTTTAACGATGCAATTTTAATGGCACTTACATATACATTAATAAATAATTAAATTAATTCTATAAGATTTATAGTTTATACACATTATTATACTAAATCGGCGTTATTCTTTTATCCACAAATCTTTTGTTAATAAAAAAACTAATTGATAATATAATATTTGCTAGTGATAATCGAGTGGAATTTGTTTACAGTATAGATCACCTAAGCCATATTGAGAAAAATAATTTTACCTACGTATTACTTACTAAAAATGTGTTTACATTCCTAATTATTTTGTAATTAGTAAGAAGGTAAAATATAATTAGGTACCTAAATAAACCAATTCATCAGATCTATTTCCAGTTTTTTATCAAAATAAAATAATATACAATTAATTAGTATCACGGACGATGGTCTGTGGACTTCAATCATGTGACTCGTCCTTTCTTTTAACCATATAGATCATTCTTACACTGTTCCTATAGATAAATAAAATACAGTTTGTAAATATTTTATATTTTCAATAAATAAAATTTATAAAACACGGTAAAATTAATTAATATTTTTATTTATTAAGTACCTACTTATCTACTTTCCACTTTAAATTTTTAACTGACCTCAATCGATAATCTTAGATCTGTTTTTAACAAAAAACGTATAAACCGTTAAAATCGTAAAAAATAATTAATGTAAAATACGCACTGCTCCGCTGCATCAGTAGTGTCTATTCAGAATAGTCTGAAACTTTACTTAACGCTATCGTTTCTACAAAAACATAATAATTATAGTAGTCATTAATTATCGTACTAAATGTATAGAATATTATCTAACTGTTACAAAGGCCATTTAATACATGTAGCTAGTGGGTATAAGTACTATAAGATATAATTAAATATTTAAAATATCAAATCGATAGTTTTTCTTCTCCTCATAATAGTCAAATTGAAGTCAACAGTTACATACTTGATCCATTAACTCTTATAATATTATAAACTTCAGTAATAATTAATTTTAGGATATAAGTAGGTAATATAGAATAATATTTTTAATTATTAAAGTAATATCATATTTATTATATATTTTCTTTTACGGATATGTATCTATATATATGTACATAAAAAAATATGTTGTTTAGATGTAACTACAAGTCACTTGCTATCTAAATCAATAAATATTGGATAAATTGATAAATATTACCTAATAATTGTCTTAATAAATTATTTTATAATAATGTACCTACTGGCTACTATACCTATCATGAGAGTATATTATGAAGTGCCTACTCAGTATGAACGAATACCGAAATTCAATAATAAAGTATACATAGATATTTAAATATTTCAATAGCTGGTAATAGGTAATATAACTTACTTACTATGTTATTTACATGTATTAAAAAAAAATTAATCTACAATAAATAGATAGGTAATTAACAACGTAATATAGGACATAGGTACAAATAATAGTATAACTTCATAGGTAATATGTAAAATTGTAAAAATAATTTAGTAAAAAGTATACATTTCAGTAGATAATATGCTAACTATCATCACCGAGTTGGGGGCATTTATATTTGGTGCCTTTAATCAACGCATGACATTAATTAACAGGATTTTACATTTAAATCGCTCACTATATGCTCACGAATAATTTGGAACTCCTTCATTATAATATACAAACACATTTTACCTATTTTATCAATTAATAATGAATTTTTCAACTACAAAAATAATTTATAATTCTTTTAATCATAACAGTCATAATAATATTTAAAAGAACTCATGCATATTACGTTGCCTCCGATTTACAGACGTATAATGGCATACAAAATTTGATGTGTTAGGTTAGTTTTAAGAGTAAATTAACTTATTAGTTAAAGGAAAAATTATTTGTTGCTAATCGTCTTTTTTAGATATTATGTTAATTTTTTAATGAGCTATAGATATGTTTTAAATTATTAGTATGTAAAACATTATAAATTAAAAATTTTCATAACTAACTTAAGCACAAATATCGAATATTCCATAGAAAAAAACCGAAGTTTAAGTATCGATTTATAGTTAATAATACACAATCGATTCTAATAAACAAAATTTGCAATGTCGTACGTTTGTCAGGTGGAGACAACATAATATGTATAATGCCTCATGTACCTATGTCCTTTTAAGATGAATGTATAAAATTTATTTTTAAACAAAAAAAATATTATGTATATTATATGCATTATAAATGACTACATGAGCATGATAATTAATATCTATAATATTGTAGATGTACTTATACTGTTAATATAGTATCTAGAAAGGGTATCTATTTTCTTATTATTTAAACAGCAAATATTAAATTCATATTTTATCCAGCCAATAAAGTTTGTGCATTCTGTCCTCGTTCATTTTTTACAGACGTAGGTAGTCTGTTCTATTAGTCTAGAAATGGACTAAATGTACCTATCTCCGGGAATTTTTCCTTATCTTGTAGAGGGCTTATCGAACAATAATTTAGTGTATAGCACAACGTATTTATCTAGTTTACCTAATTTACTGATTGTCACCGTTAATTTAACTTTTCATAATCTTGTCTATATAAAGATATTTTAATTGTTGCAGTTAATAGAACGAAATGAAATTAGTTATTATATAAGATAATAAAAATGAAATCAACTATCCTTAAAACTCATTTCCTAGCCATTACTCTTATACTAACTATAGTAACCATTCTGTATAGGTAATCTAATGCATCCTTATTGTTTAGTAAATTTAAATTCATGTAAAATATTTTATATTTTTATATTTATAAATTGTTTATCATATAAAGATATTGTAGTATATTATTATTATTAGTATTAAACTGTTTTAATATTAAAAATAGTATTAATGAAATTTTTTCAGGCCAAAATGATTCAAGATTTTATTGCTCTAACTACTGTGGAAGATCATACAAAACTAAACGCTCACTTTGGCGACATCTTAAATTTAATTGTGGAATTCAACCAAAATTTAATTGTTATATTTGCAACAAGAAATTTAGTGATAATCAATCAATGAAGAGACATATGATACTAATTCATAAACATTTGTTATGATAAATAATAAAATATTTACTGACTACCATAACGTTGAACATTTTTGTATTGAATAATACTTAAATATACATTAAAAATATTTGAATAGAATAATCTTTATATTTCAATTAACACTAACAATATCAATAAAGTGTCATATTGTCAATAATAATAGGGAATTGAAAATATGAATATAATTTTGTATAAGTATTAAATGTCTATGAATTCAAGTAAGTAATAAGTATTATGATTATAATTAGTGCTTCAATGCTTAAATTAACGGCAAAAGAAGTATTGTTCCTTTTTTAAAATTATTTTATAGTGTACTCCTATAAACTATATTCTAATGAATAAGATATTTAAAATTTACCGTACATACATTTTTTTTTTTTTGTTGTTACCTTTAGAATTCCTTTTCTAATTGTATTCCAATTCAAACACTAATCATATTAATGAAATATAAAACATAATTAATATTTAATATTAAGATAGGTTCCTATAAATAAACTGTTTATATTCTAAAGCAATGGTCGGCAATAGGTGGCCCGCAGGCCAGATCCGGCCCGCAAAGGAAAAATAATTGGACCAGGAAAAATATTATTTTTTTAATAATGCTGGTTTTTCACACATAATTTATATTTTATCTATTTTATGATGTATTTAGAGATTACGATGGTGTTTATCGTTTATTGCTATTTACAATAATAGTTGCGATAACACAACAATTATTAACTATAATATCTGAGTATTTAGTTTTTACCGGCCCTCGAAATTTTTTTTTTTGATTTTCTGGACCTCCATAGAATTTAATTGCCAACCCCTGTTCTAAAGCAACGGATCCCAACCTCGGATTGCGACCAAAATTATGGTTGAAAGTTTATACGGTGATAAGTCATGACTCACGAGTAATAAATCACATATTATTTCAGTATAAATTTTTATGAATATTAAAAAAAAAAATCTTTCTAAAATAATTAAATAAAAAACAGATCGAGGAAAAAAACATTTTTTTTTAACGTAATAAAATATAATCAGTACCTATCTACACAATTATTATATTTTTTAAGATTGTGAAAAGTTGAATTTAAAATGTTAGGGTCACGCTCATAAGTTTGATAACCTACCTACCACTATTTTAAAGTATAAATATACCAAAGTATATTATAATATACTTGTAATAATAATATTTACTGCAACAATAAGTATACAATATAGAAAATATATCAAGTAAACAATAGTTACATTTTTACAAACTCATCCAATCAAGCCCGCACACAAAGGGGGGGCTGAACCCCTCCACCATTACCTCTTTTTGAATCTAGGTTATATTAACAGCTATTGGCTCTATCAAATTAAAAGGAAGTTTACTTTATCAAGACTTCTGAAATATAATTATTATAACATTTTTTTTTTAAATCCCCTCTATGATAAAATATTGCGCACGGGCCTGCATTCAGTAAATATACTTGAACGCTAATAAGTTAAGATCATATAGTATGATGTTAATTTAAAAAATGATAAAACTAATATTAAATACCTATAGGAATATATTTAAAAAGTTTATGTAATGAGAAAGAAATGCGGGGATGAATCATAAATACCACTTATCTTCATCAGTGTATGTACAGTGTACACTACTGGGCAGTGGGCACTATAAATTATATTATCGTTATTGCCAATCTTGATTATGATACGAAACTCATTTAATTATTACTTGAACATTTTACTTAATATAATTGATAATATTTAAAATGTATTCTAAAAACTAATACGCGTGTGTTAAAATTGACATTTAACTTAACTGTATCAACAAATAATTTATAGTTTTTGTAATCATAATAATACCTATTTAAGATGGACATACATTTTTTAAGTAAAAAAAAAAAACTATAAATTTAAGTTCTAATTTAATTTAATTTTCCTTCACACTCCCGGTAATCCTTTCCACCGCCTAAAAAGGACAAAAAAAAAAGTATAGCGACTTATTCTCATACAAATAATAAAAACAAAATAAAAATATTAATACTTAAAAATGTAAATTAAATACAGCAGGAATGCTTCCGTGGGATGGCATCTCTTTAAATATATTTTTTTCCAGTCAATTAAATATAATATATGTCATCGAAATGTCTTATGGTAAATTTCCAAAATAAAAAAAATATATTTTAAACCAGCGCCCTATTGATTACTGCACTCTGTGTCCTGATCCTGCTTACTGAATGTGTAACTACTAACTAATATTATATGGCATAGAACGGTTGTGACAGGAGCGCGTTTTCTGTCATTCTTTGCGGTTTCGCAAATCGTACGGGTGACTATGGGTGTTAACGTCGCGAAAGCCGAACGCTCTAAAAACGAAACGCGGTGCTTTGGGAAACCGTTGCCAACGTCGGGACGAACACCGCCGCTAACGCGGGCGCGCTTGCGCCCGACTCCAACATCCGTTCGGTCGGACGAATCCATTATGGCGTATTACGCACACACGACACGACGGGCCGCCGCCGCCGCCGATATCCGCGTGCGTGGTAAAACAGCGAACCTGGTGTGGTCGAAATCACGCGCGCGCGCGCGCGATTGTGTGTCGAGTTCGGTGCTCGTTTTTGTTTTTTTCCACACATTTCCCTCTCCCGTCCGCTCCCCACCCCAAACCTCCATCACCGCGTTACGCACACAACACACGCGCCAGCGCGTATTTTCATCGTACGAGTTCCGAATCGGTTTTAAGGTGTGCGTGTTGCGAGTGCGCGCATGTGTACGTGCGTGTACGTGTGCGTGCGCTGGTGCCCGTGTGTGTGCGGTCCGCGTGCTTGCGCGTGTGTACGTGTTGTGTTGCCCAAACGGACGAAAATAATAATATCGTCGTCGTCGTGTAGATCTGCCGCTGTGGTGGTGTCGTAGTAGTTGAAAAAGAAACGCGTCCGTCTCGCCGTCCGCGCACCACACCGGGCGTTTTCGAAAACGAGTCCGGACATCGCAACACTAACGATAACAGCACCGACGTTTAAGAACTTAAAACATTGTTATTATTATTATTATTATTATTATTATATATATTAATACTTTAATCGAGTCGACCAGCAGTAGTGCAGTGCACACACATCGTGTGTGATAATAACAATATCATTGTGTGTGTGTGTATGTATATGTATATAATAATATACACTATGTACACGGTAGGATAATAATAATATTAATAATCACAATAATAATATTAATATCATCTCGTTTGTATATGCCGCCGTCATCGTACGCGCAACAAACAAATAGCCGATTTATTGTAATTTTGTCGTCGTGATATTAGACTTTTTTTTTTTTATAATTTTCTTTGCTGTTCGTGAACAACGACCGCGACCGACCGACCGAGAGCCGTTGTGTGTGCATCGCTATCGGCGCCGTCGTCGAATTTTTCCACTCGTCGCGATGCCGCGGATCCAGTAGAACGGCGCATCGGACGCGCAGATCCACCGCAGTATAACAGTATCCGGCGTACCGAGTTTCGCGTTTTGGACCGATCGTCGTCACTCCCTGGCGCGGTGCACCCATACCCATATCATTATCAGTATCACCGTCGTCATCGTCATCGTCATCATCATCACCACCTCTGCCGACCGTCCGTGAAAACGTGTGAAAGACCAAAGGCCGCGGCGCGCACCAACCGCCGCCACTACACGTCGTCATGTCCGTCAGCCAACAATTTTGCCTGCGATGGAACAACCACCAAAGGACACTGATTTCAGTGTTCGACAGCCTCTTGGAGAGCGGAACGCTCGTGGATTGCACGCTGGCTGCTGAGGGACGGTATCTAAAAGCTCACAAAGTCGTGTTGTCCGCCTGCAGCCCGTACTTGGGGGTAAGTGTAGTACTTGTAATATTCGAAAATAGTTATGACAATTGTCAGTCCCCCAATGGTGACTGCGTATAAAAATATATTATAGCCAATATTTTGGCTACCTTTATTAGTACAGCGTGTTATTATTATTGATTATATTCACGTATTAAAATCAATGACATTTTTACGTTATTTTCTTTGGATTTTCTGACGACATGAGTCCGTGACGCGGTAAAATACCGTCTATAATGAGTACTCTATAATTTTATGTTATTATGATAATATTTTATTGATTAGTAATTGCGACCAGGATCTTACGACGTTCGGGTTTTAATTATTTCGTATATATATATATATATATATATATATATATATTATTTTTTTAGGGCATTTCCGTTTTGTTTTGGCCTACTTACGCGCGTGTATTTGTAGTACGGTGTCTGCACATGATTTTCACCAGGCGGTATGAAAACCAGTTCCACACCCCTTCACTTTTTTTCATTCCTTTTTCCTGTCCCGTTATTCGCGCACACAATGCAATGACAAAGGAAATTTCTCTTTTTTCTCTCTTTCGCGTATAGATCGAATTCTCTACAATTGGCAAATATGTTATTGCCAACGGACGTTGATGATGATAATAATATTAATGAATTAATACACACGCGCACTCATACACTCGCGCGTGCGCATATTTATATATATATTATTTACTTAAAATCAAATTAATCAAGTAGGCATGCATTAAAATTTTTCTTTCCAGTAGGTAGCATACTTTTTTTCATAATTATTCCATTGACACCTTATAATTGAATATGAATAGGCATTTATGGGTGCTTTAATTTATAGATAATACGTTTTTACTTTGATAGAAGTATTATTGAACAGATAGCAAGTCGGTAACCGAATATTTGCTTATGAAAACATTAAATACTAATGTATTGAGATTTAATTTAAAAAAATTTTCATGAAATTCTTAGCTGTATTAATAAAAATTCCATGTTCATTATGAATGTAACATTATTTTATCTAGGTAGATATTATATGATAATGTACACATTTTCAATGCCTAACATATTATTAAAGTAGCTAGATAATAATTTATAACGTAAATCTTGTATTTTCCTAGATATTTAGTAACATATAGCTTTAAAACCAAGTGAATGTATCAGTTAAATCAATTAAGTTACCTATGCAAATGAGTTTATTACCTATTTGATGTAGTTTAATTATTATTTCTTAACATTTGTGAAATAATTAAATATACACATTTTGTAAGGCAAAAGTATACAATATGGAATAACATATAAAACATAGTTAATCAGATTCTGGACAATATGACATTTTTGTTTTAATACATCACCTAAATGATTCAAAAATATAAAAAATATCATTATTGATCTTTCTTTTTTTTATTCTTTTATTAATTTCCTTTCTCCTTTTTTTAAACTTGCTTCCTAAAATATTAGCAGAGCCCTACCTTTTAGACATACCTTTCTGATTTCACTTTCTTGAAAGCCCTCCACCATTTCTGCTTTCATATTCATACCAGTACATTCTCTTTGAATAGTTTTATTAAGCATATAGTTAAATTTTCCACATGAACCTTCTAATGTGGTAGTTTACCTACTATTCAAGTAGAATTTTACATTTTAACGAATTGTAAGACTTGGTTAGTTCATTTGGTCTTTGATTTATTTAAAATCAATAAATGATACTTGAATTTAAATTAACCAATATTTTTATAATTTATTAATTTACACACAATATCTCAGTTTAAAAGATTAAGAATTACATTTCTGACCTAAGTCAAATATATAAAATAAGTTTTAAATTATCATTAGAAAAAAAATATTTCAAAATAATCATATATGGCAAATGCCAATAATTCATACTTAATTGATGATATCTATAATATTGAATTTAATTTAAAAAATAATATACTATTTAACCTTAGGTAAATGATTAGTACTTAATTTTACGAATAAGTATAAAAATACAATCTAACTTAAAATTAAGATTAAAATAGTGTTAATATTAAAGAATGAAATCCAATATTATGGTACCTAGTCAGTAACTAACTTGAATAAAAAATGGTCATTGTACCCTAGGTCTGATATTGCAGTAACCACAATGATTTGAATGATTATCGCATAGAAAATAGAAATTAAAATAGTTGTGTTAAGACCTACTTTGAAGTACCCAATAATGATTAAATAGATTAACAATTAGAATTACACTTAACTGGTTAATTTAAGATTTAAATAAATATATTTACTTTGTATTAATTAAATAGTATTAATAGTAGGTACATTTCTATACAATCATTTAAGATAAATGGCTACATTATAACAAATGTTATTCATTATCTAATTTGACTATATTGTTATTCTAATATACATAGGCACTTAATAATTCTGTATAAATACACAAAGTGAAAGTTATTCCGAAATAATTAATGATGTACAATTTTAAACATTAGAAATTCCTTTAACTACCGAGTTAAAAAATATTAATGAATTTTCTATTCTGGTTTCTTTACCAAAGTAAATTTGAAAATACTCTTTATTCTAATCAGCGTAGTTTAGTTTCTAACATTAAGTACTGATACTTTATAAATATTATAAACTATAAGTAATCATTAATGTTTTTTTTTTTTTTTATATATATATATATATATCAAGGAAATAATAACATACTTAATATTATTATGTTTATAAAATATTGTATAAATCAATATATGTTTTAAATAATATTTTTGATTCAAAAGTATTATTTCTAAATTTTTTATTTTTTTCTAACTTCTATTGCATTTTTATTATTTGATTAAAAAAATTTTAAACTATTTTATAGTACCTATTTTGTTGTGATCAATTGATCCTAAATAATTTCAATGATTGATAATATATTTTTTGATACATTTTGTTTAATATTTTTATAAAATAACTTATTAATAAATGTAGGTATTTGATAAAACATTTTTTTTATTTTGTCCAGTTAAACTTATGAGACTAACGGTTAGGTAGGTATTCTAGTAAATACTTATCTATTTAGTAAGATATTTGAGACAATATATTTTATTAAAATTATAAAAACTACTATTTTAATAATAAAATGTTTGGATTTATTTAGTTTTTGAAATTTATTACATATTTATTTACAAGAAATTTTTTTTTACACTAACCTGTACCTACATACCTATTATAAAATAAAAACTTGAATAATAAAAAATTTGTTAAAATAAAAGTTAACATTATTTTACATTTTGTTTAAGGTTTTGTTAAGTCAACATCAAGAGAAACATCCAATCTTAATTTTGAAAGATATCAAATTTCAAGAGTTAAAATCAATGTTAGATTATATGTATCGGGGTGAAGTTAATATCTCTCAAGAAGAACTTGGTACTTTTTTGAAAGCTGCTGAATCTCTTCAAATCAAAGGTTTAACAGAAAGTGCTGGTATTGGAGTTCGAGATAATTCAGATTTTGAAGACCCGGTATCTAAACGTTTTGATCATAGAAAACAACCACCTTCCTTATCGTCAGTTAGTTCTAACTCACCTACCATTTGGAGCCAAAATGAAACTGTACGTACATATTCAAGACCAAGAGAGGGTAGTTTATCTCCAACTAGCAAGAAGCGGAAATTACAACGAACAAATGGATCAGATGATCATCATCAGGATAATGGTGATGATAGTTTGACTGAATCTGAACCTCAGGGGGTAGAAAAATCACCAACTAATAATAATAACATCCCATCTTCAGTCAGTAAAGTAATCAAAGCAGAACCTTACCGTAAATCATGTTCACCAGACAAAGAAGTATCAAAGACCACTGAAAATCAGATAATCAAACCAAAAGTAGAATCAATTTCTGGTGACCGACAAGAATGTTTGACAGAAATGTCATATGATGATAGTGTTGAAGATATGGCTTTAGAAGAGGAAGAAGAAGAATTTGATGAAAATGAATTATCACAGCCCGGAACTTCACAAGGGGATACCAATCACACTGGTAAATAATTAAAAATAAATAATATTTAACTAAATTTAAGAACATTTGAAAACATTTTATTTAATATATATACACGTAAATGTAGCTTTTTATTTGTTTGTATAAAACATATAAGAAATTATTATACTAATTTCTATTAAAATTTATCTAAGGGATACATTCAGAATATATAATTTTATCTAAGGATAAATATTATACATCCTTAGATATACATTGTATATGTAGATTTTTAAATAATAACTTGACAGTTAATTTTATATTATACTTATCTTTGAATCCTTTTATTTTTATTTCAGCAGTGCCTCAAACAAATTCTTGGCAATTAGACACAACTAATCAAGATAGCACCAGTACTGTTAATACACCAATGGACTGTAAAGGTAAGATTTGTATTTATATTATTTGTAAAAATAAGCGTACTATAAATAATTAAATTTCAAATGGATAAAATAAAATAATTCATTTTAAAATTAAATGTGTATCCATTATGCATGAATAAGGGACAGAAAAAATTATTTTTATTATATGGATGAGGTACATGTAAAATTGTATTTTTTTCAAAAGTACCCATTAACAAAAAAAAAGATGTATTGATTTTAAATTAAATATAATAAAAATGAAATACCTAATTAAAAAAAAATATTAATAACACATTTTATTAGTTATATAATTAAGTTTAGATATTTTACAAATCTTTATTTAAATATGTTCTCTAAAAATTTACTTAATATTAAATATATTTTTGTTTGGTTTTTTTATATACCAATAGTAAAGAAATATTTTATAATCAAAGTATACTTTAATGTATTTTTGAGAATTTTACATTATACTTTCCAAGTTGGTTAACAAACTTTTTTCTACTAACACACTGTACTACAATTTGCATGATTTTATGAGTACCTATGGTTTATTTTATTTGCATGTATCCAAGCTTGGTTTTGAGGTTGCTTTTTTTTATATTGAGTTGTATATATTTGCTTCAATTTATTTATTATTTCTTAGATCATTGTATTTTAGCGAAAAATGAAATTGCAGGTAAACATAAGTAAGTTTTTTTAAAATAATTATAGTATATCTTGCGTTCTTCATTATTTTATGATAAATGAAGGTTATCTAGCGCGATTATGTATATTACATTAAAATCTGACAATTTATTTTAATAACGATGTGAAGATTTCCTCAGAATTTGACCAGATTACTAGCATTTCTTATCTTATACGCTGTTTAAATATAGACAAGATTATGATTTAAATTGTATTACAAACAGATTTACTATGTGTGATTAAAGTCCAACTAAATATTAACGACTGATGGATAATAGGAAATAATATCTACTAATGTGTTTTATTTATTTTATTATTATATAAGATTTAATTTTAGTCACGTGGACTACAAGTTATAAGATATAATATATTACAAATTGTACTATAAAATGTTATTGTGAATTATAATGTGAACTTAAAAATTCAATAAAAACACAATATTTATAACTAAATAGGTTTAATGTATTGGAGCATTTTTTTATTCTCAACAAACTTATGGCATAATGGAATAATCTTATTCTTTGTAAATTCTATCATCTAGTTAAAATACAAAAAAAAAAGTCATAGAAATCAATATATAATAATTCAAGATAAAAATTTGTTTAATAGAATTCTTTGTTTTTGTTTTTTTTTTTTTTTTTTTTAATGAGCGGCTACATTTTTTTCTGACACCACTTGCTATACAGGATATAATAAAACATTTCTTATCTTTGGCCTTTCTTAGATATCTTATTACAGGTTTATCATTGACCATTTGACTAGCACAAAGTTTGTTTCTTATGACCAGTATAAATGTTAGGTAGTGAATTATATGTTTCTGCTATTTATTACTTGTAGTTTTAAAAAATATACATATATCTATAGACATCTATGATGAATTATCAATTTTAATATTTGGGAAGATGATATAATACATGTTCAATATATTTAATCATTATTTTAACTTATTTCTTTATTTGATAAATTTTTCTTGTTTTTCCAAAAGATAAAAATTTTCTATTATGTAAACATATTATAATATATAGGTTGTACTTGCCAAATTTATATAATTAACAAAAATAATTCTTATTATTTCATTTAGTTTTTAAATAATAAAAAAAATCAACAATTAAAATATTTAATTGAATATCAATGAATATTATTTATATTTAATACATTTCTATAAGTTATCAGTTTACCAAAAGTCTGTAGACAAACATCAAATTTTGTACATTGTGATTTTGCTCAATTGATTCAATTCTTCAGCTGGAATGTTTGCTACTTAATCTTCAATGTTTCCTTTAAGTTCATTTAGGTTTTAAGATTTGCAGATTTTTATTTTCTTTTTGAAGATTTTTAATTTAAGTATTTTTTTAAATAAACACCTATTTATTTTATTATATTGAATTTTCTTTGTAATCTTTAACAATAATTTATTAATAAAAAATATAAGTACTTTAATAAAAAAATTCTTTAAGTGAAAAATAATTGGGTTAATGGTTATTTTTGTCCTCTTCTTAAACTTGAACTCATTGATATAGGCTATTGAATAAATTTATCTCATAAATGAACTGGTAATTGAAAAATTAGAAACTCAATGTTTGATCTAAAGACTAATATTAAAAGACATTAATTAATTGTATAACTTTTTTTTTTTAAATTATGATATAAATGTATTAAATTTTGTTTTTCTTTGTGTAAAACATTATTTGGTATATTATATACATTTTTAATACAGTTCTGCTACTTTTATTATTATTTAAATGTAATAATTATTAATATTTAATTGTACAATTCATTAATTTAATTAAATAAATCTTTCATTACATGCAAAAAATATATGCTTAATAACTACCAAATAATATTTTTCTCAAAAACTACGTACATGCTTCTAAATAATAGAATACAATTAATTTTTTTTTTAATGTCTAATTTATTTTAGAGAATGCAATATTAAAAACATATATTCTATCTTTTACAATGTAGATCAAAATAATAACTTCTACATAATTCACTCATTATGATATTATTGAAAATAAGATAGTATTGCATATTATGATAATTATAAAAAATAACATCATCTGTCTTTTTGTTTGATGATTTTTAGTAATTTATTAACAACAATAATAATAATTCTTCAAAAATAAAAATAATTTAAAAACTTCTGATGTTATTATTTTTAGTCGTTATAATAAATTATAATACCTTAATTTAAGAAACGCAATTACCAATGAATGAAATGTGGAATAAGTTTTTAACTATATTACACATGTGTTAGACTAAGAAAAATATTATACTAACGTCCCATCTTGAGTATTTATTTATTTTTTCTTATTGACCGTGGATACTATTTTATAGGTATATATTTTTTCAACCTGCTACAAGCTAAAATATTTTTAGTAAGTCTTTGGTTTTATTAAATTAGATGGGTTAATGGTATGTTGTAGAACAAAAGAATGGATTGCTAATAGGCTAGATCCAAGGTTGAGTCTTCCCAATACTTTGGTGTTGGAGCTGACTATGCAACATGGGCCATTTAATATATAATTAATTTAAAGCTTACATAATTAATGTTATTTATTTAATTCATTACCTAAATAGTTTAAATTTTATATAATTCATAAACAAAATATAAATACAAATAATTATTGAGTTAATAAAATATAAATATTATCATGATCGATTCAATCGTATAAATGAGGAAGTATAATAAAAAAGTTATCTTGTATATAATTGTTGTTTTGTATTACAATTACAAGTATAAATATTTATATTTTAATAAATTAACATATTTTTCATGCGGATATTCATGATATGTCTTAAATTTGGATTGAATAGCATTAGTTAATTATCCTTTCATAAGTTATTTCATTTTCTGTATGAGTTAAAAGATAAAAAGTCTAAACATACATATATAGTCTGTCTTAAGAAAGAAATTAACTATTTTATGCATATACACCAAGCTATGAACTGGTACCATAAGCCAAATATGGTGGAAGTACTAGGCGTGGTTTAGCATGGAGAAATGCAAGAATATCCAGTTTTTGTTGAACACATTATACCTTTCTTTCATGAGACAGGCTAATAGGTATGAATTATATAAATTAATGTATGCATATTATTTCACTTTTAGAAAATTTTGGGATTCATGATAAACAATGTTTCAAATTTGTTAAGAAAAATCCTCTAACTTATCGATTCTATAAATTGATTTAACATTAATCATACTATTTTTCAAAGTTGAATATTTAATAAATATTTAATTTATTTATTATTTATTTTTAGAATTAATGTTAAATTAATATATTATTTTTATAAATTAAATTATTTTTATGTATTAAAATTAAGTTAAATTTGAATAAAATTAAATAATTTATTTTAAAGATATCAGAAATCGTTGAAATATTCATTATCGGTTTGCAGTAGTAATAAAATGTTGTCTCTTTATGATAGTATTATAAATATAATAGATTAAAAAAAAACATTTTCCAATGGATATAAAGATATAAAATATTCCAATTATTAAAGTATAATGATATAAAAATATAATTAAAGCACAAACTGTTGATACAACTTCAAGAAATGACTCAAGAATTACTAGTTGATTTAATTCTGGTTTCTCTTCTGATAGACAAAGTGGAACAATTTGCTGAAAACTCAATTTTTCTTTACATATTCCCTATAAATATTCTTATACTTCGTAAATAGACACGTTGCTCCGAGCTTAAAAAATTAAGAAATTAATTTATTAGATAAAATTTCAAATGTTATCTTTTAATCAAATTAATGAAGTTAATATTTATTGCAATTAAATTATTAATAAAATACAATTTAAAAAAAATCATTTGATGATCATTGACTAAACTCAGATTACTTTATCATATATTAATTTAATTTGAAAAAAATGTGAAATTGTCCAGCCTTGCTATTGATTTATATCTTATGTTGTATAATTATTTCGGTGGTTTGTATTTTATTATATAGGCTTTGTTTATTAACTTGATTTTGATTTTTTTCCTTAATAAAGAGAGCAAGCACTAATTTCCTAATAATTTGTAAAAAATTATTTTGAAATGTTAAAATTGACAAATGTTAACACATTGTTAGTAATTTTGAATTATTTATCACAGTTATCATTAGCAAGTTACTTCTTGAGAATAAATTCACCAAATAAATAAAAAAAAATGTATAATAAATATACATTTTATTCCTAAACCACAATTAAGAAGTATATTTTGTATTACCTATGCTATGATTGATTTGTATGAAGTTATTCATTTTGTATTATTCATTTATTTGTTTAAAAACAAATTCAGAAATACTGTATATATCCTAAATTATTTTCCTAACTAATAATGGGCATGGATGTACTAACTGGGTCCGGTTAGATTACAAATCAATTTTTTTTTTTTTATTACTATGATTATTATTATTCTGGAAACTCTATGTGGTATGTGTGTTGTGTGTGCTTTCCTTAGCAATAAGCTGTACGAGGTGCGGCCGTCATTACAAACTGAAGAGCTCATTGTTGAACCATCAGCGCTGGGAGTGCGGTAAAGAGCCGCAATTCAAATGCTACATGTGCTCGTATAAAGCAAAACAGAAAGCTCACTTGTTGACGCACATGAAGTACAGGCATAAAACTGATAACATCAAAACTGAATATTTTTATTAACATTATATTATATTTAAAATTTTTATATTTTCTGTATTCAGAAAAAAATGCTCCAATATTTTTTTTTTTTTTTTATGGGAGTAGGATATAAACTATTTTAATATTTGTCATCATTACTGTGTTTATTAAAATAGACTGAATTTTCAATAAATAGCAATAAACATTAATGTACAAATTTAAGACAAGTCTCGTGTGTTTATGTATATATATAATATATATTTATATTATATTCATATATAAATTTCATGTTTGACATTTAATGAAATAGACTATTGTCTTTTGAATAGGCAATGTAAATTATAAATTTATTATTATGTTATTTTCCTTCTATGTTTTATGATTAAAGGGCTGTGTTTTGTAATTTTATTTATACAATAATTATATTAATTATTTTTTATCTTAATTCTAACAATATGTATATTTACGTTAAATAGTACATTAAACATAAAATAGTTAAAATAGTATAAAATTAAAAAAAAAAAAAAATTATACTTAAATATTGTTAATTATTTGTATGTTTTGAAATGTCAATTTGCTAAGTCTTATGGTACTTTTTGATTAAATGTTATTACTTTCGTTTTAATTGTCCGTTTATTAAACAAAAATAGTATTAGTATTACTCATTAGTTTTATTACATATAACCTACATTTATTTCTGATGTTCTGTATTTGTCTGTACGTGTTACTAAACCATAAAAGGTTAAAATACTATAACATAATAATTAACAATTCAAAAAGTTTTTGTAGGACCACAAGAGAAAGCCTATTCATACCTTATGAATTTCAATTAGATTTAAGACTTTCATTGAAAAATGTCTGCTCTTGATAAACACTAAGTATTACCATCAGACATTTTCAATATTTTATTATATCTATTATGATTTCCTATGTTTAACTAATTATTTAGTAAAAAAAAAAGGAAAATGTTCTATTTTTTTAACTATCTACATATTTAGTAATTAGCATGTTATTAACATATATGATTGTTATTTAAATTTACTCCAAAAATTTGCGACCTGTTGAATAATAATTTTTTACACAATACTCCTATACTAAGTGTAACTAAGATAAACCTTATCTTAAATAAACATTATTAATTCTTATCCTTGTGAGTATTGAGAGTACGTTTTACTATGTTCATTTAATTAAATTATCTTTACTTAAAACTAAAAGATCCAAAATATCATTTTTTGAAATATATTTAGATCTACATAAATTAACATTTTATGTATTCATTATTTTTTATATTGGTCTATCACTATTTCATCGTAAAATTTGTGTCCAAAGTATGATAGTGCGTAAGTCATTAAAAATAATATATAATAACTAATATTAATGTTGCTGCGCTTGGATTGGTTTAACATATCTTCTATACTGTCTTCTGTTATACTTTTATTTATGCATATATATATATATATATATATATATATATATATTTATAAATTTTTAATAATTGTCAAGTATAAATATATAAATGTATATATATATATATGTATGCATACATTATATAATTAATATTTAATGAATGTTCTATTAGGCTATTGGCTTTTTAAAAAATAAATACCATTGCTGTTAGAATGTTTAACGCCACGCCAAAATACTCATATATTAACACATACAAGTAATTAGCATCATATTAAAACAAATTAATTGTTTTATATATAAGTTAATGTTTCCTGGTGTCAGTTAATTTATAAAATATTAGGTACGTAATTTTAACTCTTGCAAATATAAGAATTACTTGGACTTTTTATACTGTTATTCTATTGACTACACCAAATTGGTTAAGAAATATAAAAATTTTTACTACACTGAATTTGATTGAAAATATAACTATCTAAATGTATTTAAATAAATAAAAACATTATAAAAAATTCCATTTTCCATGTATTTCAATCAAGAAGGGACATGTCATAAAAAAATTAAGTTCAGAAGTTATTTTTCCCTCCTTTTGATTTATTGTCTAAATTTTTCTGTCATGTTTGTTATTCGGATCCTTTACAGAAATAATAAAAAGATGGCAGGATGGAGGTGAAAACTGGGATGGATATCCTCCTACTCAACGTTCTCTTGTGCCGCTTTTCAATTCATTTGGCCCAAATGGCCCAATGTCTGCCATAAATTTCAAATTCACTAACTACTACAACAACTGTAAGTTTGATCCAACTTCACCTAATGACACGCTACAAATCAGTAATGCAAATTCACCAAGTACGAGCGGTGGAGTAGAATGCCCACGTTGTGGAAGGCATTACAAACTAAAAAGTTCATTACGCAATCATCAAAAATGGGAATGTGGAAAAGATCCACAATTCCAATGTCCGTTTTGCAATTATCGAGCTAAACAAAAGATGCATGTTGCTCGTCATATTGAACGTATGCATAGAGAAAAATGCTCAGAAGAATTTCAAAATATAACAGGACAAACTACAACAGCTGCAACAACGGCAACAGCTGTAGGAGATATTAATTCATAAGTACAAACTTTATAATCAAACTAAAGTGCCGTAATGTTCACATATTGACTGGTCATATTGTTCAAGTCCATGTAAATGAAAATGGTTTTTATGTATGCAAATATCAAAATATATGTTTTTTAATATTTTTTTTTAGGTTTTAGTATTAATTGTTAAACGTGCCAATGAAGTATACAATTGTTTACATTGTGTACACAAATTATTTATTGTATCGTAGTAAATTAAGTTAAGAGTTAGACGTATAACATCTGGCGATTTTAATTAGTCCAATTGACTTCAATAAGTAATAATTACTATTTACATTTCACTTTTGATTTACACTAAATATCTCATTCCCAAATAATCTTTTTACTACTACATGATTTTGTGTATAGTACATACAAAAATTATATATATGTATAATATTTGCCTTTGTTTTTAAACATAAATAAACACAATTTGTGTGTTTTATATTTTATATATATAAATTTATATTTTAAAAATTAAAAATACTTATTTCCCCTTTAACCTACAATGGAAATATCATTTTTAAATTATTTATAATAATAGTACTCCAACTGTGATATAATTCATTTTGTTTGTTGGCCTAGTCGATTTGTATGTTAGCTTGTTGGATTGTTAAAATCGCCATTAATTATGCTATTTATTTGAAATAAGTCATGTTTTGCAACGAATCGTTATTATGTACATAATTATATGTTATCCTAATTAGTGTCCTCGGCCAATCTCCACTAATGTATTAAAAACATTCTGTATGATAATGCCTACTTTAATGTATATATAAGTGTTGATATATACTTATATAATATTAGTTGGACACAATTATGCCAAAAAAATGAAATTAAACAATTTATAATCAAAACATTTTGTATTGCCCAATCAAATTATTTTTAAACCAACTTTAAAAAGTCTGATTTTAAGAATGTTTAAAATATATTTTTGTATTGATCAATGTTGATTGCCAGTCGGCAGAAACCATGTGATAATCGTGCCTTTTTGTCTGTACTGTTTTATTTGCATTTATTTTGTTTGTTTTACAAAAACATTTTTATTTTAATTTAAGATGCTTAACAACCTTTTTATTTATATTATCTTCTATTTTCCCCACCAAAAAGTGCCATTTGAAAAAAATATTTCTTGTAGATTATTTAATATTTATTTTCACCTTCCATTGTTTTGCCATATTATATTAAAAATAATTTTTTTATTCTAATGGAAATATTTTTATAACAAATATGTATAAAACTATTGTTAGTGTATAAATGGATTATTATATATTTATTGTGTTAATAATACAAATTTAAAATCTTAGTCGATGCACATAAAATCAAATATTCATAATGTGTCATACTAATTTGTTAATAAGTATTATTTATTAAGTTAAGCACTTCGTTTTTTTTTTTTTTTATTTAGTTATTAATTGAATTTATATTTATTTCAATCATTATTATCCTCATTAGATTATATAATTTCATTTTTGTTTCGTATTATTAATTCTTTTATTGTTTCCCATTAAGCCCCCTATATCATGTATTACTTCATTAATTATCACATGAGTATTTATGTTTACATCCATTGCTTTTTATTGTATTATTTTTATTAAAACAAAAAAAAACATGAAATTTTTTAACGAATTTATAAGTTTTTTTTTTTAGTGTTGATATTAATATTGTATATATACATATATTTAGGCTATCTTTCTTCGCCCTTATGAACATTTATGGTGTATCATTCATTGTTGCTTGCTCTGCTACGGGGTGTTTCAAAAGTTTGGTTTTGTTATGTCCAAAAGGCGATATGTTTATTATCATATTTTTGTAAGTGTCAATGTACTAACTTGGGAATCAATTTATATAAATTTAAATTTCATATTTGCTTTGGATTATATATATACATATGAACATGCGCTTAGTTACCTGTAAGTACTGTTATCAAGTAAGTATTAATTTTATTTTATTACCCATGAAATTAATAAAAACATTTATTTAATTATGTATACTCAAATATACATAATATATAATAGCAAGACTATGGGTTATTCGCGCATGCTTTTGTGGTTGCTCCTAATTAAAAAATTTTATATATTCGAGTTGTGCCTGCACTCTGGGTCACATTGGACTAACTAATCAAGGGGCATAATATCTTAAATTTTTTTAATTGTCCATGTACGTACACGTGTTTACGTATATTAATTATAGTTTTTGGATTTTCGACTAAACGATAAATGATTTTTCATGTTATTCATTCCTCCCGTTGTGCGAAAAAATTTTTTCGAATTAGATTTAAATTACAGCACGTTTTTAAAGTAAACAGCAATCGGTGTGAAGCACAGCTCGATCTATATTGTAGGCGTAATTGCAATTTATTATTTCCTACAGACTTCATGTTTGCCATCACCGGCACCACTCTCGATAACTCGACGACTGTGCGTTACGAGTGTCCGAAATGTAGCCGAACATACAAATGGAGGAGCTCACTTAAAAGTCATCTGCAAAACGAATGCGGCAAAGAACCCCGATGCTTATGTCCTCATTGTCCATACAGGTGCAAAGTTCGGTCTAATCTGTTAAAGCACGTACGCAATTATCACAAACCTCCGACGTCTGTAGTACAAAACTCTGTGTTTGAAGACCCGAAAGTCGCGCACGAATAATAGAAGAATGCTCAATTATTATTATTATATTACTATGATATATATATATATATTTTTTTTTATCGTTTACGATCTTTTAGTGCCAAATTTTACTATTATATTTTAAGTTTGTCTGATACTAAGATAATTTGATATTTTGTATGTATAATGTTTATTTTTGTTATAGTCAACAAATATTACAAATTATCTACTTAATGAATAATTTATTTTTTGGGACTGAACTTAATAATTACGTGTCGACAGATCTTACTTTTTTTATTGCGTGTTATTATGATTTTTAGGCTATAGATTTTTAGTGTTTTTTTTTTTTTTTTTTTTTTAAAGTTAAAACTGGGTTGTACAAACTATTTGACCATATTATATTATATTGGAGTCTTACTTAAGCTTTATACTCATTTATGTTTTGATACTTAAGCATTATTCAAAATATATATTCTATTAAAATATGTTACGTACCTATTCAATAACAGGTATAATTTCTGTAAAATGTTATGGTTTATAGAATATTCTATCCTTTATTTTTACTCCATAAATCTTAAAAACACAAAATTATAAGGTAAGTATTTGTGTAACTAGATGTTTTGTTTTAGATATTTTTGTGTTTTACTAGATGAGAAGTTTTTGTGTTCATTTTTAGTTGCGTTTTATTTATTATTATTTTTTTTTTGTTTTTTGTATACTTTATTTTAGTCTAACCATCCGTAGTAAGTACAATTTTACTCCGACTGAATAGTCACAAAATTCAATATTCCAGCACGTAAGTAATATATCGTATTATGAGTTATGACTACATACTTAAGTCTTCGGTGAAGATTTTAATTGTTAAAATAAAAAAATAAAAAAAATTAATATTGTTTTAATTAAAAAGCATATTATGAAAGTATAAAGATAAAATAAAGTATTTACTACTGTAGGATAAGGTAATAATCACCATTTATGTTTTAAAGTGGTAATTAATTTTAATTTTATTACTAATAAATATAATATACATGATACCGCAAGATTATAGAGCTTAGAAAACTTACCAATACTAAATTTATTTTAGATGATTCTGTATTTTTTACTTATTTAGTTTAAAACGTATTTTACATTAGGTACTTAAAATATAAACGTCAATAACATCAAGTTATTTTTTATTCTTATCAAAGCTCTAATACAAAAAGTAATTCATTCTTCTAAATTCTTTATAAACTAAGAGGATGTCATACCTACATTCTACTTTCAGCAGTTCCAGTTTTACGTGGTTAGCTTTAATATTAGAGTGAATTTACTTAATATCAGACCTTAAAACTCATAACATCTGTGTCCTTTCGTTGGTTTTTAACATTATTTTAATTTTTAAACGAGTGAAATATTATAATTTAAAATGCTCATAAACTCAATAAGCTCTTTACATTTTATCTAACAAGGTACAACATAAAATTAGAACTGCTGAACGTAAATTTGGATATGTTTTAGGTACGTTAGTAATATGGAGACAGCAACAGGTACATTGTCATCTTAAAATTTTTTTCGAAAAAAATTTAAATTATTGATTTGGACGATTAGAAAAAAATAACCGACTCGTGAAAGTTTTATCTACCACTCACCAATTATAATCTCAAAAAGCAACATAATATTTGGAGGGCCTAATTTATTTATTAAAATGTAAGATTATCCCTTCCTAGCGACCAAACCTTGTATAACTATGTATTATTAACAGACTATACCATAGAATTAAGTTGTTAGTTGAAACTATAAAAAGTAAATACTATTTTAATATTGAATTATAAAACAAAAAATGTTTCTTAAGATGTACGATAATGGTAACATCTACATCGACTAGTTCACTATTTAAAATATTTACATTTAAAACAAAAAAAAGTAATAACTAATAACTGATCTTGGTATATAGTACCTACCTATAAAGTAAGTTAGATATTCTATGTTAAAATATAAATATGATTTTCATTAAAAATAGTAAAATCGTAACTCGTGATAATATTTTATTCTAAAATATTGAACCTTGGGGATAAATATAATTTAAATTTATCTTAAAACAATTCAATCTGTAGTAAAAATGATGACGTCTATATAAGGAAAAATAAATAATGGCTTATCATCAATTGATTTATATTTACATAGTTTGAACTCTATGGATTATGGACTCAATACATCATTAAATATATTTATTAGGTATCCTATCGATTTTATCAAAAATAATTTAGTATGTTGATTTTAGCGATACCTACAAGTGTTAAATATTTGTATTCGTGTGATACAATGGTAGATAGGTACTATATGAGAAAAAATGAAATCAAATAAACATCTATTTACATTACTAAAAATAAATTTAAAAAAATATGTTCGATTTACTATCTTTGAATAACTATTAATTATATTATTTTCTATATACATCCATTATTATTTCAAATCTTAGTCTAATGTTGATTTATAAATTTAATTTCATGTAATATTTCTTATACAGTTTCAAGACATCTTACTATGTACACGCAGTACATATCTACTATTAATAATACACCTACCTACCCATAGGCGCACATAGGGGGGTGCTTGGGAGTGCTTAGCACCCCCAGGCTTCAAATCGGCATCCCCAGTTTCCTGTAAAATTTATTTCAGTATTTTATCAATCATTTGAAAATTATTTCGATTCATTGAGTTGAAATTTTTTTTCCATTACAAATAGACAATATGTAGCTTATGAATTCACGATTAATAATGTATTGATTGTATTGTATGAATG